TTCACCATGTTAGCCAGGATGTTCTCAATCTCCTGACCTCAAGATACACCCGCCTAGGCCTCCCAAAGTGCTGGCATTACAGGCATGAGCTGCCACCATACCCGGCCAAAAGATCTTAATAGACATTTCTTCATAGAAGATATGCAGATGACCAATAAGTACATGAAAAGATGCTCAACATCGTTAATCATTAGGGAAATGTAAATCAAAACCACAGTGAGACACCAGTTACACCCACTGGGATGGTTATAATGGAAAAGACAATAACTAGAGTTGGCAACAATGTGGAGGAATTACAACCCATACACTGCTGGTAAGATCATGCAACCATTGGAAAACAGTTTGGCAGTTTCTCAAATGGTTAACCATAGAGTTGCCGTATAATCCAGCAGTTTTACTCCTAGGTGTATATCCAAGGGAAATGAAAATGTGAGTCTACACAAAAACTTGTACATGAATGTTCATAGCATTATAAATGTTCAGTATACATAATGGCCAAAAAGTATAAACAACCCAAATGCCCATTAATTGATAAATGGATAAATAAAATTTGGTAATATTATTCAATGATAAAAAAATATGGTACGTGCTACAATGTAGATGAAACCTGAAAAGATTATGCTAAGTGAAAGAAGCTAGTCACAAAGGACCACATAGTGTGTGATTCCATTCATATGAAATGTCCAGAGAAAGCAAATATATAGAGCCAGAAAGTAGATTAGTGGTTGTCTAGGCTTCAGGCAAATAGAGAGTAATGGCTAAAGAGTGCAGAATGTCTTTTGGGGATGATGAGAACATTCTAAAAATTGACTATGGTAATGGTTGCACAGCTTTCTGAATATACTAAAAATCATTGAATTGTACACTTTAAATGGATGAGTTGTTTAATGTGTGAATTATACCTTAATAATCCCATTTTTTTAAAAATAGAAAACATGCCAGGTACGGCGGCTCACACCTGTAATACCGGCACTTTGGGAAGCCAAGATGAGCAGATCACCTGAGGTCAGAAGTTCAAGACCAGCCTGGCAACATGGTGAAACCCCGTCTCTACTAAGAATACAAAAATTAGCCAGGCATGGTGGTGGGCACCTGTAATCCCAGCTACTCAGGAGGCTGAGGCAGGAAAATCGCTTGAACCCAGGTGTCAGAGGTTGCAGTGAGCCGAGATTGTGCCACTGGACTCCAGCCTTGGCGACAGGGTGAGTCTCTGACTCAAAAAAATAAATAAAATTTTAAAAATTAAATAAATAAATAATAGAAAACAAGCATCTCTGCCTGGGTCCTAAAGGACATAGGCATCTTCTGCATCCCCACTCCTACTCCTACGTCTATTCCCTGCCACTGCACCTGTATCAGTTTTAGTTTTGGTGAGGTTTCGGGAGTGGCAGGGGAGAGTAGGTACAGGAATGTTCACTACAGAGTCTAGGGAGAATCTATTTCAGTCTGATGAACAGATCTGGGAAGAACACTATAAGCAGTCTTGCCATGCTAACATGACAAATGAAAGTTGCTGTTACATCCTTTCATTAGGATGATACATTCAAATCTAAACTTCTCTGATTCTGCATGGCCCATAATGATAAGGAACCAAGTACAAGCCATGGTTCAGAAGGAGCAATCAAAATCACAAAATCGTATCTACCAAAAGGCTCACCCACCCCAAGGGGGAAAAATGTGCAGAGCCCTGAGAATTAATTAACAAGAGCAGAATGCAGCAACTAAAGGCAGTTGGTACCATTTCTGTCACTTTTGCAGAAAGCCAATTAATGGGTCATTTTTATTTTTTAAATGCCCAATTTTAGAGTGCTTAATTTGTTTGAACCATAGGAATGGCTTTGAGAAAATTGAAACGGGCTATTAGTAAATTATAGAAGTTATCCCAAAAGCAATTCTGCAAGATTTTCTCTCCCAACTAAATTTGACAGAACTGTGTTTTCACTTATAACTGGCTATCCGTTGTAAACCACATTAACATAATATGGAAAACTTACTTTCTCTGTTTTTCATCAACCAGCTGTGTTAAGATGCCTTTCAGTTCAGAATGAAATATTCTATGGACCGTCTCCCATTGATACCATTATCAGCAGTAGTAGTAGTAGCCTAGTTTTTAAATGATTCGTTAGTGTGTAAAAACTACGTGAAGTCAAAAACCAAAACTTCTAGAAGATTTTTAAATATTTTCTCTATTCACATTTTGGTCTTCGTTTAGAGTATTACTGATATTTTTCACATTGCGAATATGTATATCATAATTTAAATATTTCCTAGGAACCAAATTTTGCTATTGATATGCTTAATCCAATTTATTAAGCTTTGCAAAAATATACTGTTGAATTTTGAGCATAAATTTGTCTTCCTTTTTAAATTGAACAAATCTCTAGATTAGAGATTCGTTTCATTTCATTCACTAAATATTTGCATCCCGCTCGCTGCCTTATATACATCTCAGACAGTTGTCGTAACATAGATCACCTTTCACTGATGGAATTGTTGGTAACTTTCCCACATGAGGGCAGTCACCCCCTCCCTTTCTGGTTACCTCTGCCATTATATTTCAAAGAGTCCTGCTTTCCAGCCTGCTTTTGATACAGATGATGTCCCTGTACTAGTCATAGAAATGAATCAGGAAATCACTAACATGGATTTTAATCTGACGCATTAGTTATTGATATGCTGCGGTAGTCATTTGCAGTGGTCGTTACACCAATTTGAACCTAGCCTGCAGGACTTGGAGTCCAAATCCCAATATTTAAATTATATAGCACCTTTAAGACAGTTCTTCTACCTTGTGACCTCCTGCTCCATCCCCCAACCAGGTAAGCCTGGGTTGTCTGGATTCTAGGCAGTGGACACAAATTGTTATCTCCCCATGTCCAAAAGATTGTAAGCATAAGACATATAGACATTTGGAATTTGTAAGGATAAATTTCTGAGAATTTGAATTTAAGGGCTTAAAGAAATTCTCATGAGGGAGGGCTATGCACCTTTTTTTTTATTTTGAGATGGAGTCTCGCTCTGTCACTCATGCTGGAGTGCAGTGGTGCCATCTCAGCTCACTGCAACCTCTGCTTCCCACATTCAAGTGATTCTCTTGCCTCAGCCTCCCGAGTAGCTGGGATCACAGGCACCCGCCACCACGCCTAGCTAATTTTTGTATTTTTCTTAGAGACAAGGTTTCACCATGTTGGCCTGACTGGCCTTGAACTCCTGACCTCAAGTGATCTGCCTGCCTCGGCCTCCCAAAGCACTGGGATTACAGGCATGAGCCACTGTGCCTGGCCTCTATGTACTTTTGTCTTTGGCTTTCTAGCTCATCATTGAGGAAATCCATAGTTATTTGCTTAGCATTCAGTGATTACTCTTGCTAGAAGTGGTAATTTATTTTGACATAAGACATGCATAATTTTCTCCATCTTAAAAAAAAGAACTGACTTTAATCCCACATTTTCTTCCAGCTAACACACCATTCTCTAACATCGATCCTGTTTTTCTGTTTCGCTTTGCAAAATAACTTCTTAGAAGAGCTTTTCTTTTTTCCCCCTGCTGCCTCACTTTCCTGCCTCCCATTCCTTCCCCTTTCAAGTTTAGCTGTTCATCTTTACCGCCCATTGAAAGTGCTCTTGTCAAGGTCACCAGCTGTCTCCATACTGCCAATTCCAATGTGCACTTTCTGGCCTCATTTCAGGTGCGTTCTCAACACAGCAGATGTTACCTCTTTCTTGGCACACTGTCTTCTCTCAGCTGTCATGGCATTCGGTCTCCTCACATCTTCCTCCCTTGGCCATTCGTTCTCAGTTTCCCATGCTGCTTTCCCCTCTTATTTGGGACTCCTTACAACTTCTTCTAGACCCTTTTCTTTCCCCTCCTTTCCCTCTCTCCCTAAAAGGTTTTATTTAGTCTCACAGTTTTCAAAACCATGAATATGTTAAATACTACCAAGTTTTATTTCACCAAGATAGACTTCTCTCAACTCCAGATTCCTGTCTGTATCCAACAGCCTACTTTATGTCTCTATTTAGGAATCTCAGCTATCCCAAGGGTTTAGATATATTCTGTATTTTGGGTTGGCTCATGTTTTAAACTGGAATTTATTTATACTTATGTTGAAAACATGTAATAGAACTCCAGGACTGGAATATTCTTTTTTCTGTTCTTGCTCTTTACCAAGGTGAGTTCTTCAATTCTCAGTTCATCTCCAAAATGCATATCTCCAGCCCAAACATCTCCTAATCTTCAGACTCATTTATCAAGCTGCCTAATTTTTTTTGTAGAAACAAGGTCTCCCTATGTTGCCCAGGCTGGTCTTGACCTCTGAGCTCAAGCTATCCTCCCACCTCAGCCTCCCAAAGTGCTAGGATTACAAGCATGAGCCACCACACCCCACCCCAGCTGCCTAATTGATATCACCACTTCCATCTCACAGATACCTCAAACTTTGTATGTCCCTTAAATTCTTTGAATAGCTGGATCCTACTCATTCTTTAGGTCTCATATATCCCAGAGAAGACTTCCCTGTCCACACTGTCTAACATAGGTCTCTCTTGTCCTTCTGTATCTCAGATATTTTTTCAAAGCATACATCATAATTTGTAATTATTCATGGTTTATTTGCCAGTATACTTTTTGCCTCTCCCACTAGACTGTAAGCTTCATGGGGCCTAGGACTGTTTTATTCACCATTGCATCCTCAGATTTTGCACAGTGCCTGGCACATAGTTAAGTATTCAATAAATACTTAGTTCATCATCCCCCAAAAGAACGTTCTATGAAGTCCTTTATTTACTGTATTCAAATGAATCCAAGTGTAACACTGCGTTGAATTCTAGATATTTATGTACCAGATACTGGGAACACTCTCTATACTTGTTTTGTTTTTATCTTTGGAGGATTCTTAAAATCATATTGAAGTCTTCTGCTATTGTAAATTTTATGGTTAAAGAAAATAATTTTCTTCTTTGGTAATGCAATCAATGCTAATTAAATTTCCTTATTTCCAGGATGGAAGGTTAACATTTCATCCAGGAAGTCAGGTAGTGAAACTTCCTTTTATCAACTTTATGAAGGCACGTGGGACTTCCTTTCTAAATGCCTACACAAATTCTCCAATTTGTTGCCCATCACGTGCAGGTATGAATATCCTTAATATGAATGGGAGAAAGTGGCTACACACTGAAGCTATATTCACAGTTTAAAAGATTATAACTAAAAGTAGAATGGTTATATTTGGCTTCAATAAAATTGTTTTAATATAAAAGATGTGCATTTTAAGGTATATATTGGCTATTGGGCGTGTTCAAATTGTATTTTTCAAGAGTAGGAATTTTTATCATTTAGAATGGTGTCTAGTTCATGTGTTACCATTTTATTTCCTTGTGACCGGGGACTAAGAATCTCTTGACCATCCAAGAAAATGAGGGAATACACATATTTCCTAGAAGAGTTCTGTTTCCAGGGAAATTTTTCAGTAACGCTATAGGTAATGGGGAGGACTTCTATGAACATCAGAGTATACCATAAAGTAGTTACAACTTATATTTAGATTTACCTGAATTTTTTCTTATTATTTTGGATTATATACTTTACCTCTTTCTTTCAGTTTCAATTCACTTTTATCCCAAGTCAAATTGTTCACTTTTATTATAATAATTTAACAAATAGACATAGTTTTATTGGCAGAATGTCAGTGACATTAAGCCATGAATGATTAACAAATAGGAAAAAACTGCCATTTTTATAAATTCTATCTATTGTCTGATAGTTGTTTTCCTTTTCCCCTGTCTTCTGGTTTATGATTGTTGTCTTGGAACCCATAAATGGCACTCAGTGATTTGGTTTGTCTGTAAATGAAATGATTTTCTCTGTGATTTGAGTTATAACTTCTCTTTTTATTTTCAACACTAACAACTCTATTATTACCAGTGATTAAAAGAAAACTAAACTATATTGAAAATGATATTTCAATAATGAAGGACCAGCATATTAAAAAACAGTTTTGTTAACTGTAAAGTAGAATGAGCAGTGGGCTAGGGTGAGACAATGACCTGGATGCGAATGCTTAAGCAAGTCACTCAGTCTTCTTATCTGCCAATTGCTGTGTATACTGTGTACCTCACAGGGTTGTTCTGAGCATCACATTAAATAATGAATGAGAAAGTGGCCAATGAACCCTAGATGTCTCAAAATGTCAGATGTTATTTTTCCTGGAAGAAGTATATTTTGAAGAGTAAGCAAGGTTAAATAATTTGTCAAAGACTACTCAGTAACTGGTGTTATTGGGATTCAAACCCAGGTAATCCCCCATCCCAGCTCTCAGAAAACATCTTGCTAGATGAAAACAGAAAGCTTATTCTAACTTTCTATTTATGTACACAGAAATGGGAAAATAAGTATTGATTGAATAAGCAATCATAGTTGTAGAAAATGAGAGATAAGGCATAGCACACTTACATTTTTTTGTGGAAAGCCAGCAAAAGGACAGGGAATAAGGGAAGATCCTTAAGGATATTGGGGAAATGAGATCTGTACTTCAATTGTCTGATTTAGAAAATTAACCAATGAATACTTAGGGATTATTTTTGTGCTTGAAAGAGGCCTCTAGTCACACACACTTTTTATTTAATTCCAGCTGTATTTACCTTAAGTAACTTAACCACTAAGCATTAGTCAACTCATCTGTAAAATGGAAATAGTAACTCCCCACAGAGTATCTCCCTGATAAAATGAGGTAACAATCAGAAATGTTTGCTAAAGCACCTAATCTGGGTACGTTTTATTGCAGAGCATGAGCTCTACACTAGTGGACTGCTCTCTCAGAGTAATTGTCCTAATAGTTAAATTGTTAAGCGTTACCTTAATCCCAATTCCTTTTTTTTTCTCTCTCTCTCTCTCTCAGCAATGTGGAGTGGACTCTTCACTCACTTAACAGAATCTTGGAATAATTTTAAGGGTCTAGATCCAAATTATACAACATGGATGGATGTCATGGAGAGGCATGGCTACCGAACACAGAAATTCGGGAAACTGGACTATACGTCAGGACATCACTCCGTTAGGTAAAAAATGAAACAAAAATAATCTTCATGGACTGCCCTCTACCATAGCGTGTACATGTAGTCTTTTTTACTTTAACTTTTTTATTTTTCCACAAAGGTGAAAGTAAATATCTTAATTCCTTCATTGTGTTAATTAGGCTGAAATTTTAGCTTTCTTTCATCTTCCTAAAACATTAAAATGGCTAATATACTAGTCATTTTGTTTTTCTTAAACAATAAAGGTCTATAAGTAGTGTTTGTAAAGTTGTTTAGCCCGTGCTTTATTTTCATTGAATTTCTTTTAATGGCTACTGTATTATTAATTTTAAAATCTGTTTTTAAAACCATAGCCTTCTTGCTGGTTTCCTTGGTCAGTTCTCTCTAACTTGAGTCTATTGTAACTTTGTTTTTCTTTCATTTTACTAAGTCCTCAAAAACCAGGCAGCTAAGCATAGTGGTTAAGAGTAGAGGTCAAGAATCAGATTGCCTACTTTTGAATTATAGTTTCTGTTTACTACCAGCATTGTAGTAGTCTGATCTTGGACACATTGTCTAAATGTTGACACTGTACTTTAATTTCTTTGCTGTGAGGATTAAATGTATCAATAAGTTCAGCAAAGAGCTAACATAAGAGACCTGAGACTGCTCTGCTTAGAAAGGCTTGCTTGGAAGGTTGGCCCCTGTCTAGCATCTAGGAACCTGGATTTCTGGAGTATTCCCACTATTCCTTAACTGATAAGAGCGGCTTATTGTGTGCCTGGAGCATTTGTACATTGCGGTTTATGCCGAATATCAGCTTTCCTTCCAGGAGTCTGGAATTTTGGTATGTGCTAAGTAGAGGGCGCTTATATAATCAGCACCACCTCCTAAAAAACTTGGGTACTGATTCTCTAATGAGCAGAAACAGCACTTCACATGTGTTGTCGCAATTTGATGGTGGAAGAATTACGTCCTCTGTGACTCCATCTGGAAGCTTGTGCCTAGTTTCTTCTGGACTTCACCCTATGCACCTTTTCCCTTTGCTGATTTCGCTGTGTATCCTTTTATGTGATAAACTATAGCCATGAGTGCAGCTGTAGTCTGAGTCCTGCAATTCCTCCCACTGAACTTCGGTGTGATCTTGGGATCCCCCAACACTTGTGGACCCCAACACAAATACATATTGGGGATTAGAGTGCCTCTTTCTTACCTAGGCAAGTGCTAATTGAGGGTTATTGGTAATGGTTGTTGTGATGATGACGATGATACAAATGATGATAAATAATAAGAAAAAATTAAGTTAACAAAAATAGTGATGAATGTAGTGAGTTGAATAATGTTCCCCCAAATTTTGTGACCACCTAGAAAGAACTTCAGAATGTGATCTTATTGGAAAATAGACCCTATTTGCAGATGTAATTAGTAAGGATCTCCAGATGAAATCATGACTGCTGTCCTTACTAGAAAAGGAACAAGGACATAGGCACACACAGAAGAAAACAATGTGAAGACGGAGGCAGAGATAGTAGTGATGCAGCTACAAGCCAAAGAATGAAAGATTGCCAGGAGTCACCATAAGTTAGGAAGAGGCAAGGAAAAATTCTGCCAGAGCCTTCAGAGGGAATGTGTCTCTGCTGACACCTTGATTTTAGACTTACAGCTTTCAGAACTGTGGGAGAACAGGTTCCTGTTGTTTTAAGCCACACAGTTTGTAATAGTTTATTCTGACAGTTCTGGGAGATGAATACAGTGAGTTTTGGGTAAACAGATACTAAAATAATCTAAAATAATCTGAACATTAAAATTGATTTGCTAGTTACTGTTTAATTTCTTTCCTTTTCTGTCCTCCAAAATCTAAAAGATGGCAGTACAGGAAACGCAGAAGCAATCCTGACATTCCTATTCTTTGCTCTGTCTTCTAATGCATGGCCAAATGTAGTCAGTTCTGCTTCTGAATTATTTCTCCAATTTACTCACTTCTCACTCTCTCCACCAAGCTACTGTCATCTCTTGCCTAAACTATTAAAATGGGCTTCTACCTGGACTCTTCGTACTCTATCTGACCCATTTTCTATAGGCAACTGGAATGATCTTTCTTAGATATATGTCTGATTACATGACACACTTGCTTAAAATCTTTCAGTGGTTTTTCTCTTCAGGTTAGTTAAAATCCCAAATCCACATCATGATTTATGAGACCCTACATGATCTAGCCCCTGCCTACCTCCAGTCTCATTTCATACCACTCTATCCATCCCTCAGTATGCACCTGGTCTTTTAAAACGTTCCTTAATATGCTTTTTACTACATCTGGACTATTGCATGAGCTAGTTTCTCTGTGCAAAATCCTGTTCCCCTACTCTGCCCTGCTAATATCAGAAAGAAAGGGAGGGAGAGGAAGTACATGTAGGAGGAGGAGCACAGCTTTGTGTCCACCAGAGCAGTCAGATACCCAGCTTCCCTGCTTACCATCCTTGTAACCTTGGGCAAGTTACTTGATATTGAGTGTCAGTGTTCTGTAAGAATTCTTGGGCAAGTTACCTGGCATTACGTGTCAGTGTTCTGTAAGTTATCTGTCAGAATTATGATTCCTACCTTGTTGGATGACTGTGTTTTATATGAGTTAAAAGATACTATACAAGGAGTAAGCAGAATAATATAAAATATTTAACAGTGCCTGGCACAGAGTAAGCATTTAGTCAATGGAAAGATTATTATTATGAAAATGGCTTAACCAGAATTGCAGTCTAACATTTATATAACCATCTTTTTTTTTTTTTTTTTTTTTTGGGACAGAGTCTCACTCTGTTGCCCATGCTGGAGTGCAATAGCTTGATCTCAGCTCACTGCAACCTCCGCCTCCCAGGTTCCAGCAATTCTCCTGCCTCAGCCTCCTGAGTATCATAGGCATGCACCACCACGCCCAGCTAATTTTTGTATTTTCAGTAGAGACAGGGTTTCACCACGTTGGTCAGGCTGTTCTCGAACTCCTGACCTCATGATCTGCCTGCCTCTGCCTCCCAAAGTGCTGGGATTACAGCCGTGAGCCACTGCGCCCAGCCATAACCATCATTTTTCTAAAGTGCTTTGCATTACTAGTTACTTTATGGAGTTTCACAACTTTCTCTTTAAAATCTTTCTCCTTTTTAGAATGCAAGCTTAATCTAAAGTAAAATACAACTGTTTATAATAAAATAAATCTAAGATTGAATGCCATATATCCCCTGTAACTTTTATTCTTCTATGTGACACAGTTAAAATATGACCTGACTTTTATTCCGCAGCAGGATAATTATCCATGCAGAGCAAGGACCTTATCTCTTCTTCTCTGCTTTATTCCCATTTGCCAGCATAGCACCAGTACATTGTAGGTTCACAATTAAATTTTTGATGAATGAATGAATGAAAAAGTTATTTTGAAGTACGTACAGTTTATTATCTGATAAACATTGATATTCTGTGTAATGCAGGATCATATCACTTATTCATTATTAGTATTTTTTACATATCCACAATAGAGGATATCCTGTTTTTAAGTTTTTTTAATTTTTAAAATACTAATATTTAGGAGTTCGTTCTTCGTCGTGTGGATTTCTAAAATTAGTAGAGGAAAAAAACCACTTAGATGTTGATATTTGGTGTCAAAGATGGTTTTCAGTGCAATACTTTCTTAAAGCTTATTTTCATTTACTCACACTCTCATCAGAGCTTAGGAAATTGAAATAAGCCACCAGGAGTATTTTTATGAGCACTGTATATACGCACACAGACATTTGGCTGAGAAGTAAGTCAAGGTTGCTATTAATAGCATGTCTGAAGGTTATATGAATTATAGCACATTATTTTTCAGTGTAAGCTTAAAAATGGGTCTCAGAACAAAACATGGTCTCACAATATCAAATTTCATAAATAGGGGCATTCAGTCTTGTTGATAGATTGACTTTCAAAATCAAAATGCAAGTTATTATAACTCTTTATTACTGAAATTGGCCATTTTTGAACCTGCTTATATTTTCAGCCAGAATTACAGGTTTCTTTACTATTATAATACTTCTGTCTGTCTTTTTTAGGCATCAGTGATGCTTCCTTCTTGTACCAATTTAGGAACACTAATTTAAGTAAGTGTCCCTTATTATATATGACACACCACACCATACTAGGATCTCTATGGGCTGCACGGTTGTTTCATCTGTACAGTTGTTAAAAAGATACCGGTAGTATTACTCATAAAAATGCCATTTACTGATGATAAGACCTTCAGCAAGTAATTTATCTGCTTAGAATCCCAGTTTAGTCAAATGAGCTTTCACTACGTGACCTTTAAAGTTCTTCTACTCTGCAATTCTGTAACTCCAATGGAGTACAGTTAAGTGGTTTCTAAATTTCTGATACTCATCTGTCCCTTCACATTGTATGTATTGAGTTGTAATAGGTTTAAGTTCAAATTTGCTGTCTTCTTATCAATTGAAAGAAAACATTTTTATTTAATTCATAGGATATTTTGGTTATTTTTGCTTTCTGTTAAATTTTGTTGCCTATATATTCCCAATATCTAAAGTAGTGGTTTTCAACTGAGGGCAGTCACCCCTCCCCTCATCCCATATATCCCCACCTCCACCTCTTGGCTGCCAAGAAGACATTTGACAATGTCTGGAGACATTTTTGGTTGATAACACCAGGGTTATTTTGCTGGTATCTGGTGGGTAGAGGCCAAGGTTGCTGCTCAGCAGTCTATAATGCACAAAACAGCCCCTTCCCTGATAAAGAATGATCAAGTCCAAAATGTCTTTAGTATAGAGATTGAGAAAACATGTCTAAAACTAGATATTTTATGCTTGCCAGCCTGGTCTTAGGAATGTCACACTTAAAATAATTGCCTACATTTTAAATATTGTTTATTCTTTCACATTCTAAGGGATCAAATCCACTTGACACTAGTACATCAATTTAGTTTTTAGAATTAACAAAAAGAAAATGTATAGAATTGTGTATACAAAGTGTATAGAATTAGGAGGTAATTGATTTTATATAGAATATTTTAA